CTCAGCGAGAGTATGCGAGAGGAGACTCGTGGATCCACCGGATGGCATCGGCTGTGTAAAATACTGCTTAAAACCGGGAATTTCGACAAGGCCGAAGACGTTTACCGGCTGCTACTCGAAGAGGCATCTGACGAGGACGAGCAAGAACTATCTTTTTTCTATCATCAACTTGCATCGATCAAAGACAAAAAGGCCGAATATGCTGAGGCACTAAATCTGTATGAGAAATCACTTGAAATCTATCAGAAATCTCTCCCTCCAAATCATCCCGATTTGGCTACCATCTATGGCAACATCGGGCGGGTGTATGAGAATATGGGAGAGTACCCGAAAGCACTTTCATCCCATGAAAAGTCACTTGAAATCTATCAGAAATCTTTCCCTCCAAATCATCCCGATTTGGCTACCATCCATAACAACATCGGGTCGGTGTATGACAAGATGGGAGAGTACCCGAAAGCACTTTCATCCCTTGAAAAGTCACTTGAAATCAAACAAAAATCTCTCCCTCCAAATCATCCCGATTTGGCTACCAGCTATGGCAACATCGGGCGGGTGTATGACAAGATGGGAGAGTACTCGAAAGCACTTTCATCCCATGAAAAGTCACTTGAAATCAAACAAAAATCTCTCCCTCCAAATCATCCCGATTTGACTACCAGCTATAACAACATCGGTTCAGTGTATGACAAGATGGGAGAGTACTCGAAAGCACTTTCATCCCATGAAAAGTCACTTGAAATCTCCTTGAAATCTCTCCCTCCAAATCATCCCGATTTGGCTGCCAGCTACAGCCAGTTAGGAAGAGTGCACCGCTCCATGCAGGATTACTTGAAAGCACTTGCATTTTTTCAAAGGACGCTGGAAATCTTGCAGAAAATACTCGCTGAAGAGCATCCAAATTTGGCTATTACCTACAGCAACATTGGTGATGTTTATCGATTAACTGGTGACTACTCGAGCGCACTTTCATTCCATCAAAAGGCGGTTCAAATTCAGGAAAGCATTGAAAGCAATCATCTAGATTTGGCTACAACATACAACAACTTGGGTGAGACTTATCGGGAAATGAGAGATTATTCAACAGCTCTCACATTTCAAGAAAAAGCACTTGAAATCCGTGAAAAGTTGCTGCCACAAATTCATCCGGATTTGGCGTCGTCACATCACAACATGGCTAAAGTTTACAAAGCCACTCGAAAATACAGTGTGGCAAATGAGCATGCCAGAGAGGCTGTTGAAATGGCTGAACAAAAGCTACCTGAAAAACATCCACAGCTATTCAAGTATAGAGAGACGCTATTAGAGACACGGAAGAAGTTGTAATTGGTTTTTGTGAATAAAAGCAAAAGTGGGTCACTTTGATCACCAGATTTAAAGATAGAATCAATCTAGCCTATTTTCCATGTAGATGGAAATACGCACTGATTGAGGGATTCATTAAACAAATGAGTTAGAATACTACAAACAATGGATGATGCTTCCTTCAACATTCTAGGTGATAATCCTGGCGCCGAAGCTTTATAACAATCTATTCTTTCTAACAACTGGAATACATCAGGCTCAGATATTAGAAAAGTAGACATCATCGTTTTTGATTTTCTAATAGTTTTAGGAATATCATTCAGATCTGCAGTGCTCATGATGCATACGGAAGCGAAATATTCATTTAAAGCATTCACTTTGCCTATTGAATCGTTTTTGAGTTCACTAATAGTCATACAACATATAGGTGGAACAGACAAATGCTTTCTCCTTCCAAGAGCATTTCTAACAAGAGTCCACCATCTTTTTGATTTAGTACTGAGATCAGATGATATTTTGCGATAGTACAATTTTTTTGCTTCATTACATTCATGTTCAAATGTTTTCGCAATTTTTTTATATAATTGTAAATTATACTCATTCTTTGTACGACGGTACCGACGAAAAGCTTTATCCTTTTCATACAACAGTTTATGTAGTTTTCCTGTAAACCATATTTTGTCGCGCGAAGATAAAGTGATTATTTTATGTGGAACAACTTTGTTAGCAATCTCTAGTATTTTGTTTTGTACAAGTGTCACAGCATCATCCAATGAGGATCCTTCTATTAAACGAAACCAATTGACATCTGAAAGCTGCAAGCGATAATAGTCCCAGTCAGTATTTTATAATCATATATGGTTCGCTCTCGCTTTTGTACAGGTTCATTTATAGATTTAATTGTGATCTGAATTATATTATGATCACCAGTTGAACACAGCCGAGGTAGAACAAGAATAGACTTAACACAGGATAGGCTATCATAAGCATTTCATTAAAACTGTATTTTGTAGATGATCTAACCGCTTAAGATTATTATTATTGAGCAGGACATAACCTCTATGCTCTACAACTTTGAAGAATGTACCATTTGAGGTTCACGAGATATTAAACTTTTAAAAATGAAATATGCTTGACTTTTATCGCAGTATTTTAAACTTGAGTTTTTATAAAAGCGACTTCCTATTGGTTTTCTTGCATTCTCAGTTCGATTATGATCATAATAGAACATAAGAGAGCTTTTACAAATTCTGCTATGCTAGTTGAGGCTACTACTATTACTTACTACTACTATGGGAACAGCGACCATTAAGGGTTAACCATTAATTTACCTTAAACTACTTTCAATTAATCGAAAACATAACATGGTGAAAACGTGCTATGACAGAACAAGGAAAAAAAAAGAACCATTAAGACTTAACCATTAATGGTCGCTAATTGTAAGAGTTCATTTCTTTTGCTTTTATTCAAACAATTTGTGTGTTTCTTGCAGCATGTTATAGACCTAAGTGGATTAATATGTGTGGCTTCACTGAGCATATTGATGTTGTACTAAATCAGGTTAGATCATCTACAAAATCATAATATAATTCAAGTTCCAATTAAATCTATAAATGAACCTGTACAAAAGCGAGAGCGAACCATATATGATTATAAAAATACTGACTGGGACTATTATCGCTTTCAGCTTTCAGATGTCAATCAAAATCAAAAAGATGGTGGACTCTTGTTAGAAATGCTCTTGGAAGGAGAAAGCATTTGTCTGTTCCACCTATATGTTGTATGACTATTAGTGAACTCAAAAACG